GTTTTTTTTTCATTTATTCCAGTATTCTTTTTATTTTTCAAATTTCAATTGTGAACTATCAATGTAAGCGTGTTTTTTTTCAGATTCTTTTTCACTTCATTTTATTTATGATAAATTGTTTCCCTTTCGTTTCAATTGAAAAAGATCTGAAATTTTCGTATGACATCTTTAGTAGACAGATTACCGATTGTTCAGCAGCTATCAACAGTTATTCTACCACGAGAATCATTGCCTAAAAATGATGAAATTATCGATGATAATGACAATTCAGTGAATCAATTGTCTGATCGATATGAAGAATCTCGTTTGATTCATGGCAATGGTAGGAAAGCTGTTTCAGTCCACAAGGATTCTTGTGATATGTCTGGAACAAAAAAATACTGATTGTAGTTGTTTTTTTTTATTGTTTATTTTAGTATGTACTGGCGCTCTTGTAGTGCTCTGGCTGGGTGACAAGCACTCATCATTGAGAGCTGCTCTTATTGAATATTTGATACCTGAAGATATAACTTTAATTCTCTTCTCGACAAAAGAACAATTGTGGCATTGGTTAAATACCTATTCTTCAGTAAGGGTTGCCTCTCTGATAATTGAAACAAGTATTAATATTCAAAATATTGTGTCTCACAGTCATGCGTACAAAAGTATTCGTTCAATACTTGTTCGTTGTAGGACGAATGAACTAACCATGTTACAAAGATTTTCAAGATCTTATAGAAAAATTGATGGTATTTTTGCTGATGATACACGTCTTCTAATCAAATTAATTATTGATCTTGCACTTTTTTCGGAAGAACTAGGTGATCGACAAAGAGAAGATGAAAATAATGAATTAGAAGCTCAACGAAACTATGGTCGCGCTCTTAAGCTTTGTGCATTGGTGAAGAAACTTTAGAATGTACAAGAACGTGAGTGGTTATCTTATAGTATCAATGAAAAAAAACTTTAAAAAATGTTTTTATTTTATTGTTTCTATAAAAATCAACGAAACAACTTTTTTTATGCATAAGATCCAGATTCATGAGATCCTCCGGTATTCCTGTAATGGTAGAAAACCCAAATACAGTCGAGGATAATTAAAATTATACCCTTTGATTTTTTTGTTTTTTTGTTACTATATATAGAGAGAAAGCCCAGAACTTGCTGCAATTTTTTGGTATATATACTTTGAATATCAAATACAATTTAAAATGTAAAAAGTATAGTGAAAGAAAAAGAACATTTTTTTTATTTCGCACATATGTCGACTTAAATAGATGATAAAACCTATGTTTTCGATTGCGATCGAATTGCAACGCAGTTGCTAAAAAAATAGACGACATGGGAATCTTGAATTTTTTTTTCCAAAAGATGCACCATAAAAAGCTCTAGAAAATCTGTATGATTGAATCCATTTTACCTGTTCTAATAATTTTTTTATATTCAAAATAAACGACCTATAATAAAAACAAATGTCACTTTTTTTCTAATATAGATTTACATTTTAAACTGAATTTGATGTTCAAAGTAAATATATCAAAAGATGCACCAAGTTCTGAGCTTTCTCCCTATATATAGTAAGTTAATAGATAACGTATAGTAATAAAAAACAAAAGCAGACTCCCTTCTTCTTTTTCCTTGACATGAGACCTTTTGAAAGACTTTTTTTTATTTACAATATGTAATAATCATTAAACTATTATACCAGAAAGTTTTAATTATTATTTTAATTAAGAAAAGGTCAAGCTATATGTATATTCAGACCGAATAAAAATCTTTTACTTTAATATTTATTTCCGCATCTTGTAGCAACGCTTTTGTGCACTAATATGAAAAGAAGAATGATAATAGTTGTTATAGTGCTAATCAATCATTCTTTTCTATATGGTTAAAAAATTATGTAAAGCAAGAAAACGATGTAGTCAGACATATTTTCAAGCTTTTAGTTTTTCGCACATACTGTAAAATTATATATATATATATATGTTTTTATATTGTATTCATTTATTAATGTAACTAATTTCAATACTTGTATATTATAATATAATATTTATGTTGTTGCATGTAGGTCTGTAAGTCTACTAATCAATAAATATAATTTCGATTTTAGATTTCTATATATTTGCTAATAGAAATCGAATTTTATTATTTTTCATTATTCATTCTTCATTGTTTCAATTATCAATATAGAATATCAATTTTTGGTTTATATTCTATATTCATTTATTAAATCATCATATATGACTACTGGTAACAGTGAAGATCGTGTATGCGAAATTCTTGTACTCTCTGCGAAGTTTATTCCAGAACATAAACTTGGTCATTTTACCAAGTGGTTTTCCAACGTGACCATCTTACGCAAATATATATGTGATCATATCAAGAATACAAATACCTTTCACTTACATGTTTCTGGCCTGTATTTGAAAGAATTACTGGAAAAATTTGTTCACCAAATTGAACAAGTTCGACGTATTTATGTATACTATGATACTAGTGATGCTCTTCAATCTGATCAAATTCGTATTTCATCTGGATCAGAAGAAAGTGAAAAATTAGAGTTTTGTCTTGAACGTGATTTAGAAAAACAATTACAAAATGCTGAGACTGGACGCGCTGTAGATTCATCACAATCAATTGATCGATCGACAATTGACAACATCGCTACGTCAACTATGGAACGTCTTTCTGCAAAACGAACGAATAATTTTGATCGTCATTCTCCAGTGCCAAAACGATTTGCTTTTACAGTTCAAGATGATTCTTTTATGGAAAATATCAATTCACGTTTTTTTTGTCCATCTTGTAAAGTATTTCTTCAAGAACCTTATCAACTCGAGTGTGGACATCGACAATGCAAATCATGTACAAATAATAAAAAGAGGTAAATGTATTTTTTTATTTTTTCAAATAATAGTCTGCGTTTCTTTATATTATTAGTTGTGCAACATGTTTGAAATTTATTTCAAAAGATAAAGTAAGTGATTCAATTATTTTTAGTAATTTGTTTTCAAATACATATATCTATTCTTGAAGATATGGTTCGATCGAGGTTTTCAAAATGAAATACAACAATTATCAACGACGTGTTTAGAATGTGAATGGAATGGATCATTAGAACTTTATCAGGTAGAAAATATTATAGTTATTTTTTACTCAACAATTATATCATTTCTAGAAGCATCTTGATCAAAATCATCAACAATTTATCAATTGTTCCACTTGTAAAAAACAAGTAAATATTGAATTAATGATTTTGTATCAATGAATATAATTTTTTTAGGTAGCTCAAAGTAGCCTTCATCGACATTATTTAGATGAAATACATCAAGAAATTCATTCCGCCTTGTATTTAGTATCTCCAGTAAATAATAGTAATATAAATCATAGTCAAATCCAAGGAATAATATCCAATTTATTAAATAGTACAAAAGTTCGAAATGATGATATACAACGAATCAATGGACAGCTTAACAATCATCAACATTCTATCTCAGTTATGACTCAACAATGGTCTTCATTTAAAACAATAGTTCAAGAAATCAATGATCATATCTATAGAATAGAAATTAATCAAAATTTATTATATCAACAATTCCTACTTTTGAAAGAGAATGTTGAAGATGCTCAGGCTACATCTTTTGATGGTACACTAACGTGGAAGATAATGAATTTTCAAGAAAAGAGAAGTATATAAAGAAATTAAATATTTCGAACTTATGTATGTATTGATATTTATTTATTAGTGGATGCTACATCAGAACGAAATTTATCAATCCACTCTCCACCATTTTATTCATCTCAAACAGATTACAAAATGCGTTTACAATTATTTTTAAATGGGAATAATAATATACGAGGTACACATATGTCATTGTTTTTGGTATTAATGCAAGGTAATCATGATGCAATTCTTCAGTGGCCATTTAAATTTAAAGTAACATTTACTGTACTTAATCAATTATCATTGAACAATAATCATTCAATTTCATTTTGGTTTGATACAACATCAAGCTGCTTTCAACATTTAACTACTGACATGAATATTATTTATGGTATTTCAAGACTTCTTCCTCTTGATTTATTTGAAAAAAATCAAAATCAATATGTTCAAAATGATACAATGTTTATTAAAGTGGAAATTGATTTTTCAGCTGAAAAATCCGGTAAATTGTCTATACTAAAACATATTTTACGTTAGTTTTTATTTAGAAAATACCATTGATAGTACAGGTGAGTTGTTGAATGATGAAGGACATGCGGATACAATTGATAGCAATCTTACACTCTGATACATTATAATGATATTTAACAATCAGATTAATCTATGAAACTGAATGCGTTGTCACACAAGTTAGATAATCTTTTTTTCCTTTGTTTCGTTTCTTACAAATATGATCTGCTAGTTTGAATATTATTTAGTCTCACTAGAGGAAGGATCCACAAAAAATTTAAGTTATTTCGGTCTAACAAATCATTTACAACTATCATCGATCGTTGTCCCTCTACTTCTTGTAGCCCTTTTACTCCCACTTTTACATCAGTAATGATTATAATCTGAGCAAGTGAGTAGCTTATAATGATTATAAACATTATTTAACTACTATCTTGAAGACTAAACCATGCATGTCTAAGTATGAACTGATTTAAGGTGAAACTGCGTACGACTCATTACATCAGCTATAACTTTCGTTGATCATAAATTCTAAATGGAATAACCGAGGAAAAATCTGTTCTAATATATGTGACAATTTCAGTAGTAATATCGGAATGCTTTTATTAGATCAAAACTTTCTAATTCTTTTAACATAGATTGTTTGTTGGTATCTCTAAATAATTTTCTATTCAAGACATATCTTTCAAGTGTTTGACTTATCAACTATTATGTAGTATAAGTTTTAATAGAATTTGAGGAATCTGTAATGGATATGTGTGTAATTCTTCTCGATCAATAGAATTCTTAAAAATATTTTTTTAAAGATAATAGTCAAATAAATAAATCTCGGTGAAATTTGTAATTGATGATATCTTATTTTCTCATTATTAAACTATCTAATTCCACTGTTCTTTTAATAAAGACAAAAGACAGAGTTTTCCTCACTACTATGTCTTTTCAAAAATCTGTCATCGAGTTAGAAAACTATATTTTTGCTTTTTTTCCCGACTAATTTATTCAAACTAACAAGTCTTTTATTTGAACGCAATCACGACAATATCTCTCCGCATGTTTTTTTGAAATGTGACTTGCATCTTATTTTCTTCTTGTTTTCCACCAATTTTCTTTTTTTTTTTGCTTAAAAGCATTTATTAATCAATAAAATAGATGGTGCCGTCTAATTAATTGTTTTTATCAAAAGATAATATACAAACTATTACAAAACATTCGAAGAGTGGTTCATATGTAAAAACCTATAGTGCAAAAGGACGGGAATGGATATGCTAGCAAAATCGGTCTTATTTAAGAATTATAAGAAAACCTTCCACTAATTTGTGCCCCTTCTCTCTATTATTCGAATAGATCCCGGTGACATTTTTTGTGCATAGATAGCTGTTAGTATGCCCTAAAAAATTGCAAAGACACGAGGGTTTGAAATGTAGGTGTGAGTGGGTGCGGATATGGGTAGATAGGTGTGAGTCAATGGAGATGTGTGTGTGGGCATGAGTGTGGATGGAGGGTGTGGGTGTGAGTGTAGGTGCGGGTATGGATAGGTCAGTGTGAGTGGATGGAGGTGTAGGTGGATGTGGGTGTGTGGGCGTGGGTGTGGGTGTGTGTAGGTGTGGGTGTGAATGTGTAAGGGGTATAGATGCGGGTATGGGTATGGATGTGTAAGGGGTGTAGATACGGGTATGGGTGTGGATTTCAATGAATCAAAGATTACATGCATAGGGTGTGAATGTGAGTGTGAGGTGTGGGTG